CCCCCCTCCCCCCCGTAGTTCCCACTCCCCCTTCAGACCCCAGATCCCTTCAGACCCCAAATCCCCCTCACCCATCACCGCCCCATATCCCCCCCTCACCTCCGCAGTTCCCACTCCCCCTTCAGACCCCAGATCCCTTCAGACCCCAAATCCCCCTCACCCATCACCGCCCCATATCCCCCCCTCACCTCCGCAGTTCCCACTCCCCCTTCAGACCCCAAATCCCGCTTCTCCACAGCCAAGGTCCCCCCTCCCCATCCCTCCCCGATCCCCCCGGCCCCTCCCCTCCCCGATCCCCCCGGCCCCTCCCCTCCCCGAGGGCGGGCCGTTCCCGTTCCCACTCCCGTTCCCATTCCCGCCGGCTCTCCCCGAGGGAGCGGCGCCGGGCGCTGCCGGCCGGGCCATGTACGCGGGGCGCAGGCGGAGGAAGCCGCTGCCGCGGGCGTGAGTGTGGGCGAGGGGCCGGGGCTGAGGGGGGCGAGGGGCCGGGGTGTCCCCGCTCCCGGTAACGCGGCTGTGCCCCCCGGCAGGACGCGGCCGGGCGCGGCCGAAGGCGGCAGCTCCAACCCGTCCAAGCGGCACCGGGAGCGGCTGAATCGGGAGCTGGAGCGGCTGGCGGGGCTCCTGCCCTTCCCGCCCGACGTGGTGGCCGGGCTGGACAAGCTGTCGGTGCTTCGCCTCAGCGCCGGCTTCCTGCGCGCCAGGAGCTTCTTCGGCGGTAAGGGACGGACGGCTCCCCCCGGGAATCGCGATTCCCCCTCGGGATCCCCTCTGAAATGGTGCGGTGTGTCCCCCCGCTGCTCCATCCCCTCTGGGACTGTGCGGTGTGTCCCCCCGCTGCTCCATCCCCTCTGGGACTGAGCGGTGTGTCCCCCCGCTGTTGCATCTCCCCCCTGGAATTGCTCCCCCGCCCCGCAATATTGTTGCGCCCCTCTTGGAATTCCCTCTCTGCCCGCCCCGAAGTTTGTTTTCCTCCCCAGAATATTTTGGGTGTTTTTCCCCCCCTAGAATTTTATGTGTTTTTCTTTCCCCCATAATTCTGTGGGATTCCCCCCTCCCACCCCCCTCCCGAGATTTTTGTTTTCTTTACCTCCTAGAATTTTGTGTGGTTTTACCCTTGAATTTTGAGGGTTTTTTCTTCCTCCCTCAAATTTTGTTTTCCTTTTTCCCCACACCCCTTATGGGTTTTTCCCTCTCAAATTTTTATGTCTCTACCCTCCTCGAATTTCTGTTGGTTTGTTTTTTTTTCCCTCCTCAAAATTTGTGGATTTCCCCCACCTGCCTCGATTTTTTGTGAATTCCCCCACTTGAATTTTGGGTTTGATTTTTTTTTCCCCTCCCCCTCAAATTTTCTTTTTTATTTTCCCCCTTGAATTTTGGGGTTACCCCCACGGATTTATTTCCCCCCCTCCCTCTCAAATTTTGGTGGTCTTTTTCCCCCTTCCAATTTTGTGTCTTCCCTCCCCTCTCAGGAATTTTGTGTCTTTCATATCTTCACCTCTTAGAATTTTGTTCCCCTCCCCCACTAGAGTGCTTTCCCCCACTAGAATTTCATCTTTTTCTCTCCAAAATTTTGGTTTCTTTCCCCTGGAATTGCTTTTCTCCCCTTCCCCTCATTTCCTCGCTGTGCCCTCTCCAGCTGCCCAGCCCTGGTTGCATTGTGCCAGGCACTCGTTTGGGATCAGAGGGATCTGGAGAGAGGAAGCTGATTTTGTTCATGGGTTCTGCTGAAGTAGAAAATTCTGGTTTAGGCTGGAGAGTTCCCGTGGCCCTGGACTGTGGCTGAGCCTGGTGCTACCCAGTTGGGAAGTTTCCCCATGCAAGTGACTTTTTCCCCTCTGTTAGGATAGACTTGGTGTGCTGACAGTGAGTAATAATTCCCTGTGATGTGGTTACAGTTTATTTGGGAACCTTTGATTTTTGGGAGCCATTCCACTGCACTGTAATTGTAATTAATAGGAGCCCACAGGATGGCATTGAGGCATCTCTTGGTTTTCCTGATGAAGTAGCGGTGCCTTGAGAATGCTGCATGTGGCCACAGAAACACCACAATTTCCCAGTTTAACTTCAAATCACTGAATATATTCAATACCTCCTTTTCCTCCCCTTTTTCCGTTCTTTAAACTGCGCTTGAAGGATTGACCAGCAGGTGAGCTGGAAAAGGAATGGCCAGGGAGAGCTGTTTGCCTTGGAGCATTAGGTCAGTCTGTTGGGCTGTATTGGCTGTGTTTTCCGTGCTGGTTTTGCTCTGGAAAGTATTTGGAATGCTGTCTGTGAGGATACTCTGAGGCAGAGGACAGTCGGTCGGTCCCGCTGTTTTGAAGGCTCCCGCCCTGTGGGCTGGGACTTCATGACTTTGGAAGTGCCACACCAGGAGCTGTTTTGGGGTTTATCATCCTTTCCAGGCAGATTGTGCTGGGATGCTGCCCCAGCTCAGCCAGGGAAGGGTGAGCATCCCTGGGAACATGGTCTTGCTGCTCCACAAACATCCTGCTAGGGCCGTGCATCCTGGGGCTTGACATTCCCGCATCCCTGACACCGGGGGTGACTGGTTGAAATTTACTGCTCTGAGATTCTCTCTCATTTTTTCTTCCCCCCCCCGCCATTCCATCTGGCTTGATCTCATGGCTCTAACTTCCCGACTGCCTGAGGCTGTGGGATGGATGGTGCCCACTCCTTTCTGCTTTGAGGCAGGTCACTGTAATTCAGGGGAGGGAAGGAAGGAGGAAAGCCTCATCCTTTTAGAAGCAAATAGTGATTGCAGACCTAGTTGAGTTTCTCCTGGTGCTTTAAAACAAAATAATAACTAAAAAAAATCTTGCAGAGGAGCCCTGGGCAAGCTCATCAACAAAACTGAATGATTTTAAGTGACTTTATTCCTTTTGGAGTGAATGCTGGAGTGGTGTGGCTGTGCTGGATCTGAGATAAAGTTCACCTTAGGAAGGCTCCTGTTCAAAATACTTTTTATTCCTTCCTCTCCTTTTTCCTTCTTGGCTATCTACATGTTTAGGTTATTTTTTTCCCTTGGTCTGTCAGGGAGCAGGGTTAGGAGGGGCACCTGCAGGCCGGGAGGGCTCATGTGCTCCAAGTCCTGCTCAGCATCCCTGGAAGTGTAAAACGGGATCCCGAGGAGACAGTTGTAGCTGCACAAGTCCTGGGTGAGATCAGATCAGAAAACACCAGTGGTTTGGGGGCTTTCTGTGTTTATTGGGAGCAGCCAGCATGGCAGGAGGCAGCTCAGAAACAGGCTGTGTAAACCCTGGAATGGAGCAGGGAGCAAGGAGGAGGAGCCCTCATGTCCCCCACTCCAGTGTGTCTTGAGTGCTCCCTGAAAGCAGACCATGGGAAAGCAAGGATGGAAACTGGGGTGTGCTGCCATGGATTGTGAGGAGAAACATCTGAAGCAGGTCTCAGGTGTTGCCCATGACCTCTGACAGCAATTCACCCAGCAGGGTTATGCCAGCCGCCGTTTCTCCAGCCGGAATAAATAAATAGTTATTGATTTATTAATTATTAATTGATTGGTTTTAATTTTATTTCAGCATCTTGGGGAAGTTTGTATAGGCTTAAGTGATTAAAAGCAGGTGGGCTGTAGATCTTGGTCACTGGTAAAATCTTTGGGAGCTCCTCTTGGTTTTTTTTTCAGGCTCTTGGTCACCTTCTGGCCATGTGATAAATTCCTCAAAAGGCAGAGCTCCACAGCTCTTCTTAGACACATACCTGCATTTTTAATCCTAGAATATTTTAGTTTTAAAGCCTACCTCATTCCAACCCCCTGCCATGGGCAGGGACACCTTCCACTAGCCCAGGCTGCTCCAAGCCCTGTCCAACCTGGCCTTGGACGCTTCCAGGGATGGGGCAGCCACAGCTTCTCTGGGCAACCTGTGCCAGGGCTCACTACCCTTCCAGGGAAGAATTTCTTCTCAATATCCCATCTAACCCTGCCCTCTGGCAGTGGGAATCCATTCCCCCTTGTCCTCTCACTCCAGGCCCTTGCCCCAAGTCCCTCTCCAGCTCTCCTGGAGCCCCGTTAGGCCCTGGAAGAGGCTCTCAGGTCTCCCTGGAATCTTCTCTTTTCCAGGCTGAACACCCCCAGCTCCTCCAGCCTGGATCCAGAGCAGAGGGGCTCCAGCCATCAGAGCATTTTGGTGGCTCACTCCAGACTCACTCCAACAGCTCCATGTCCTTCTTATTTTGCTTTTCTGGAAGTGAACCTGCTGTTCAGCCATCGGAGGTGGCTGAGATGCTGTTTGCAGGAAGCACCTCCATGTGCTTTTATCTGAACAGTGGAGTTTTGAACATTGTTTCGGTGAGATTTTGCCGGGAGGTCTTTGATTTGTTAAAAAGACACATTTTGCCTTTGGGCATGAGGACTTTTCTACTTCATATGGCCTTAAGTGATGCTGCCCCTGTTGCCTCCTGCCTGTCTGGGGACACAACTAAATGCCTGAAGTTCTATGGCAGGAATCAGAGGATTTAAGGCTGCTCAGTGTTCTGTTGTTTAATCTTTGGAGTGGTTTAGAGATCATTAAACACCGTCTTTGTTAAGCAGGATTATTTATCAAAACAATCCTTTCCTCAGGCTGAGTACTGGGCTGGTGTGTCTGCTGTGTTCCTACTGCCACCCTGATGCCAAGTGGTGGCTTTCTGCAGGTCTTTGGAAGTGCAAAGGACAAGAGCATCCATGTGTGTGTTTGTCTACTAATTCTGTTCAACTTTTGTGCATAATCTTTCCAGCGTAACAGAGCAGGGAGCAGTTCAGTGCCAGGTGTTTGCCATGTGTGTTCAGCATCTCTGGGAAAGGAGGGAACTTGGCTGTGGTCTCCTCCTGGAGCCTCCTGATCCACGTCAGGATGGGATAGGCTTCTCTTGTGATGGAGCAGCACTGCTGCTCTCTGTGAAATTCCCAGGTGCCTTTCCCAGGCACCTGATTGCCTGAGTTTGCAATCCCAAGTATATACAAATGCCTTGTGCCCATGGGAATGCTGCTTCGTGGCTGAGGTGAACTTAGGTGTGGGAGCAGGGCCGTGGGAGGGATGGAGACACTGGGAAACGTGTCCTGCTGGAGAGGTGAACCACTCCTGGCCAGTGCTCCAGCTCATCCCACGTCCCATCCTGCTGCTAAGGCAGCACTGTCCATAACCCAGCACCGTTAGCCTGGATCAGGGGGAGCTGAGGTTGGCTTCCATCAGTGCTGGTTGACTTCAGGGCTTTGTACCTTTTCCTTTCCTATCCAGGTCTCTTCCTCTACAACAGTCCCCCCAGGTGTCTTATTTCCTTCCCCCCTTGGTGAACAAACATTTTTAATTGTCACTTGCCCCCTTATCCTTCCTCCCTGCTCTACAGGAGGCTCTTTTACCATGTGGAGTTTGGTGGAGGTTGGGGCTGTGCCGCAGGGCTGCGGCTGCCCAGAGCTGAGGGATCTGCATCTGCCCGGAGCCCAGGGGCCCCCTCCTCTGTCCCCCATAATGCTGAGGACTGTCCTTGGGGCGGTGCAGCAAAGCCAAGCCACCAAACAGCCCCACTCCTGACATCCTCCCCTCTCTCTCCCCTACCCCGAGTCCCGCTGTTGGTGGCCTGTGCTCCCACTCTGGGGTCTGCACGGCACGGCACGTCATTCCAGCCATGTGCCAGCATCTCATCCCGGCGGTGCCTGGCGGCTGCTCCCCTCTAATCCCTCCCTGTTCCTCCCCTTGGTGCCAGGGCCCAGCAAGCACT